TCCTCCTGTGGTGTGGGGCATGCACAGGGCACAGAGGTGGCAGGGGAGGCGGCCTGGGCTGCCAATCTGACCTGCCATCCAGGGCATGGGGCAAAAGTGCTGCCAGGCGGGGAGAACTTTGAGCCCTGAGCGTTGTCCTGGGCCAGCAGGACGGGGCAGGCCAGCCGCGGTTTGTCACCGAGCCCTGGGCCCAGAGAGCAGCTCGCTGCTGGCTCTGCCCATGATGTCACAGCAGGATGGGGTCTCTGCTCRCCCCTGAGGGGCCGCTCCCCGGGCAGCTCTGAGGCACCATGGCCTCGCGGGGCTGCCCGCAGGCATGGCCAGCCCGCCGCCCTCTCACTCCTGCTCCTTCTGTCTGCAGAGCTCCAAGACCGTGCAGGGGCTGACCGGTCTGCGGAACCTCGGCAACACGGTGAGTGCGGCCCCAGGCCTCCAGCCCACCCTGGGGACAGCAGGAGGGAGCCCTGTCCCTTCACCTCATCCCCAGCACCCTCACCTTGCCCTGGTAGCTCCCTGCACCACCTCCCGATGGTGCTGCCTGAGGAGGAGCGTCCCCTGCTCCTCAGCACTTCGTCCCCATCCCCTGCCCGCCCCGGGTGTCCCCCTGCCACGGCCTGCCTCCCTCTGCTTCCCGTTGCCATGGTTTTCTCTTCTGCCTCCCCCAGTGCTTCATGAACTCCATCCTGCAGTGCCTGAGCAACACCAAGGAGCTGCGGGATTACTGCCTGCAGAACCAGTACCTGCGGGACCTCAACAACAACAGCCGCATGCGCACGGCGCTCATGTCAGGTACCTGCCCGGCCTCTGCGGGGCTTCCCTGCAGCGATTCCTGCCTCACATCCCTGTGGARCACCCCTGGGACAGCCCAGCTCCTGCAGGAGCCCCTCCCACAGCTCGGTGCTCCTCTCTGGGTGCCCAGCCACAATGACAATCAGACCCAGGGAGCCCGGGATGGGGTGCTGAGCTGCCCCCCAGGGCATGGCTGTGCTCCCTCACCTACCGAGCTGCCTCTCTGCCTGCAGAGTTTGCAAAGCTGATTCAGCTGCTCTGGACCTCGTGCCCCAACGACACCCTGAGCCCCTCCGAGTTCAAGACGCAGATCCAGAGATACGCCCCACGCTTCGTCGGATACAAGTGAGGGAGGCGGGTGCAGAGGTGGTGGGGGAGCTGAGCCCCCTACGGCCACTCGCTGACCATTCCCCGTGTTGTACAGCCAGCAGGATGCACAGGAATTCCTGAGGTTCCTCCTGGACGGGCTGCACAGCGAGGTGAACCGCGTGCTGGTGCGGCCGCGGGCCAGCACCGACAGCCTGGATCACCTCCCGTAAGTGTTGGTACCCAGCAATTCCCCCGGGAGAGKTCACTGCCCACAAAGCAGCCCAGGGACAGTGACCATGACGCTCCCTCTGGGCTGGTTGGCTCGGCTGGCATCCCCCAGGCTGTGCTCAGTGCCCTGCTGTGTCCCCATCCTTGCAGTGACGACGAGAAGAGCCGGCAGATGTGGAGGAGGTACCAGGAGAGGGAGGACAGCCGCATCAGCGGTGAGCAAGGCCGGGGAAAGGAGGGCAGGGCTGGGCTGGGAGCGGGGCTGGGAGCTGGGATCTCACCCTGCTCTGTCCCATCCCACCAGATCTCTTTGTGGGGCAGCTGAAGAGTTCTCTGACCTGCAGCGAGTGCGGCTACTGCTCCACAGCCTTCGACCCCTTCTGGGACCTGTCCCTGCCCATCCCCAAGGTGAGGGATCCCGAACAACCTCTGTCCCACGCTCCCTCTGTCCCACACTCCCTCTGTCCCACACTCCCTCTGTCCCTCTGTCCCTCTGTCCCACACTCCCTCTGTCCCACACTCCCTGTCCCTGACCTGCTCTGTACTCCCACAGAAAGGCTACGGGGAGGTGACACTCATGGATTGCCTCCGGCTCTTCACCAAAGAGGACGTGCTGGATGGGGACGAGAAACCGGTATGGGCCGGGGGGCTTCCTGGGGGCTTCCTGGGCCCCTTTCCCCCGTGCCTGTGTTGCTCGGTGCCCTCACCTCTGCCCTCACCCTCCTGCCTGTGCTGTTTGCTTCCCTCAGACGTGTTGTCGCTGCAAAGCCAGGACGAGGTGCACAAAAAAATTCAGCATCCAGAAGTTCCCCAAGATCCTGGTGCTTCGTATCCTTYGGGCAGAGGGATGGGCACAGGGAGTGTTGGGAGGAGGGGAGCAGATGGGTTCTCATGGGCTGCCCTTTGTCCCTTGGCCCCCTTGACGTGATCCCCAGACCTGAAACGCTTCTCCGAGGCCAGGATACGAAGCAGCAAACTCACCACCTTCGTCAACTTCCCGCTCAAGGACCTGGACCTGCGGGARTTCGCCTCGCAGAGCTGCAGTGAGTCCCTGCCCCCCGTGTGTCTCTGTCCCAGCCCTGAGCTCCCGGTGACTCTGGGGCTCCTCGGTGGCGGGGGGCAGAGGTGTGAGGGATGGGTGGCACAGATTTGGGGTGCCAGCTCCGTGCTGGCACATTGGGTGTCTCTGTGCTGGCATTTTGGGGGGCAGCAGGGCTGAGCAGTGCCCCTGYCCCCCACAGACCACGCCGTTTACAACCTCTACGCCGTCTCCAACCACTCGGGCACCACCATGGGCGGTCACTACACAGCCTACTGCAAGAGCCCCGTGTCCAGCGAGTGGCACACCTTCAACGACTCCCGGTGAGCCTGGGGTGCCACAAACGAGCAGAGTTCCCTGCTCAGGGCATCCCATCCCCGCTGCTCACAGCTCTCCTCCTCCCCTCTCTGCAGTGTCACCCCCATGTCCTCGAGCCACGTGCGCAGCAGCGATGCCTACCTGCTCTTCTACGAGCTGGCCAGCCCGTCCTCCCGCATGTAGCCAGCCCTGCCTCCCTGGGGACCCCCTGTGCCACCCCTCAGAGCCGGCTCCGCCAGGATTCGGGTGTTCAGCTCCCCCAGAGCGAGAGGGAGGTGAAGAGGAGACACCCCGAGGTGGCTGCAGAGGGAGGCTGGGGACAGCCTGGAGCAGAGCCCAGCGCGGACATCCCAGCTCCGAACTGAGGAGGGCAGCCCGTGACAGGACCGGGCTCAGCCAGCTCAGACGCCTCCTGGTTGCTGGCATTTGATTTTTACCTCGGGGCTTTTAGTTTCTTTTGTTTCTTTTTTTTTTTCTTTTTTCTTTCTTTTTTTTTTTTTTTTTTTTTTTTTTTAATAAAAAACCTGAGCAAGGGACTCTACAAGAATGGGGCCGCCCGTCCCATTGACTCAACCAGGACCTCTGCTCCCCTGGGACAGCACCCAGAGCTGRGGACCCAGGAGAGCCTCACACATCCCTCCTGGCCTCTCACCGCTCCTGTATCTGCTTGGCTATCCCAGAGGATTCATGAACTGCTCCCGACCTCCTCCCGGCACTTCCAAACCTCCTCCGGCAAAGGACTGCAGCCCTGCGGTGGYCTCCGTCCCGTCTCAGGCAGCCCATCCCCAGCAGCTGCCCCACACACACTCCTCAGAGCAGCCTGAGCCCAGACCCACGGACAGGAGGGAGGAAAACCTTTTGTGGAATTTATATGTATTTATAGTGGACTTYGCTTCGCCTGGAGCCCCCCGCCGCTTCCTGCCTCTCCAGGGACTCGTGCCGGGGGCTGCTCCGGGTAGGATTTTACCTGCCTCCTCATACGACGGTGCCTTAAACCATTTAGGGGAGCGGGGGGCCCTGGGGGCTGCACAGGAACCCGTGCAGCAGAGGGAGGGGAGGACAGTGGCTTTCCGGGACCATCTGCAATCGGGGCTTTTCTGCTCGCTGTGATCAGGAGCCCCCCTGGGTGCCCGGGGACCCGCCCTGCTGCTCTGTCCTCCAGCTAGCAAATGCCAGTGGCCTTTTTAGCCTTTAATTTATTCTCCTCCCCGTCCTGCCTTGCCTGAGGCGCAGCGGGAGGAGACACGGGCACCATCCCAGCCCTCGRGGCAGCTCCATCCACCCCACACCCGGCCGGCTTCGCCCTCGCTGCCCTGCGGGCACGGGCTGAGCGCTGGTACGAGCATCCTGCCCGGCCTGGGGCATCCCAGCGGGGCTCGGGAGGGTCAGGATGGGAAAAGGGGGCTGCCCACGGCAGGAGCTGGGCTGGGGCAGCGATGCTGCTCGGCAGGTGGCTTGTTTACTGTGTAAGCAAGACGGGTGGGAAGTGTCTCATACAAGGGAGACTCGTGCAGGAATAAATTTGAGCTTGAACAGGGTGCTGGGTGCGTGTGCTTTGTCTCTGGTTGGTCTCGCAGAGGGAGAAAGATGCCACCGGTGGGCACCCAGGAGCACACAGGGCTGGCCTGGAGCGAGGGAGATGTGGGGAAAGGTCTCCTGGAGGCAGAAGGAGCCTTTCCAGCCCCACGAAGCTCCCGGGTGCCCACACTTCCCTCAAAACCCCGAAACAATGGCTCCTTTCTCCCCTGCTTAGGGACGGAGACGGGCATTAAGGGGCAGCGGGAATGCAGGTGCCAGGGTTCAGGAGGGACACGCTCATCCCGGGGTCCCCAACACAGCCCCTGCGGTGTGCCCTGAGCAGCGAGGAGCCTGGAGACAGATGGAAAATCCTTGTGGGCACCCCCGGGCAGGGTCCCTTGGGGCTGGACTCCCGGTGGAATGGGTGCGAACACTCGTTCCCCTTTAAGACGCTRGTTCTCTGTGCCAGAGCCTGACCTCGGCATCCTCAGCTGAGCTGGATTAACGGGGCGAGGGGGAAGGGGCCTGCCGAGGGGACTGGGGCTGCAGCCTCCCGGKGTTCCCGCACTCCCGGCACGCCGGGCATGGCCCTCGGCTGGGCTCCGGCGCTGGGCTGGCACCTGTAGGGCTGGCACTGCCACCACCCCCGGCCCGGAGCGTGGAGCAGGGGTCCCCACGCCGACCCGGGGTCCATGGGGGCAGCTGGGGAGGGGCGGGCGGTGGGGCTGGGGGCTGTTCTGGGGGGCGCGGGGCGCTGGGCAGGATTTTAGCYAGGCTACGTCGAGAACCGCCTGCTGCCATGAAAGACTTCACYGAAATCACGCTTTGTCCCGAGGCTCTGGACGGCAGCAAGGTACGGCCGGGGGTGTGGGTGCTGCTGAAGGTGCCCCCATACCCACCCAMGGGTCCCCAAGGTGCCACCCGCGCWCGCTGTCCCACAGACMGAGTTCTGCAACCCCGTTTTTGAGGGCGAGGAGCCGAGGACAGCGCCCAGCGCGGAGCACCCGCCAGACAAGGATGGGACCGGCCCCGCACCGCGCCGGGACGGCCTCGGTACCGGCCTGGGGGTACCCACACCCCTGTCCTTGGGGCTGGGTTAGGGCTGGGGGGCTCTGGGGCTGCTTGGGGACACATTGGCACCGCGGGGACAAGCGGTGGGGAGGGGCCGGGACAGGGCTGAGCCTGATGCGCAGGGAGCCGGGGGTACGGCTCTGTCCCGGCTCTGTCCCGATTCTATCCTGGCTCTGTCCCGGCTCTGCCCCGATTCTTCCCCGATTCTTCCCCGATTCTTCCCCGGTTCTTCCCCGGCTCTGTCCCGGCTCTGTCCCGGTTCTTCCCCGGTTCTTCCCCGGTTCTTCCCCGGCTCTGTCCCGGCTCTGTCCCGGTTCTTCCCCGGATCTTCCCCGGTTCTTCCCCGACTCTGTCCCGGCTCTGCCCCGATTCTTCCCCGATTCTTCCCCGATTCTTCCCCGGCTCTGTCCTGGCTCTGTCCCAGTTCTATCCCGGTTTTTCCCCGGCTCTGTCCCGGTTCTATCCCGGTTCTGTCCCGGCTCTGCCCGTTGCCCTCGCCTCCAGGCCAGCAGCTCTGGGGACAGGTGGGCTGGAAGTACCGCGCCGACTGCAAGTTCACCTGGCTGTGCGTGGCTCTCATGAGCGCCGTCCTGCTCTTCCTCATCGCCCTCCTGCTCGGCATCGTCATCCACCGTGAGTGCCGAGCTGGGAGGGCAGCGGGGCGGCTGTGCCGGGGGTGGGGACACGGAACGGGCTCAGAGAGGGAGAGGGGCACTCAGAGGACATCTCGGGGTCTGCCCGCTGTGGGAGAGGGTGACCTTATGAGTAGGAGCAAGGGAGATTTTCATATTCCTGGGATGTGACAGGATCCCTGCCCGGGGGAGCTGCACACCCGCGGTAAAGGGGGAGCACAGGGCTGGGTGGGCTTCCCAAAACCCTTCAGCGATCCCTCCGGCCGGGGCTGAGCACTCCCTGCTCTTCCCTGCGCTCAGAGCTGACCTCCCCACACCCGCCCGGCGCCCCGGCCACTGCCCTGCCCGCCCGTGGCACCGCCACCGCCACCGCWGCACCCACCCGAAGGGACGGCCCGGCCCCCAGAACCGCCGCCACCCCGAGCGACAGCGGGCTGCCCACGGCCCGCACAGCAGCGCCGGGTGAGTTAGGGATGGGTTTGGGAACGGGGGTGCCCCGTGCGGGGCGGTGCTTTGGGGCGGGGGTGCCCCGCTCCAGCTCATGCCCGCGCTACTGCTGTTCAGCCTGCGGAGGGACCCTGAGGGGCGCCGAGGGYTCCTTCAGCTCCCCCAACTACCCCGGGCCGTATCCCCCCAACGCGCTCTGCATCTGGCGCATCGAGGTGAGCGCCGGGCTCGCCATCCAGCTGAGGATGGAGGCGTTCAGCGTGGAGGGCACGGCCTCCTGCCTCTTCGACCGCGTGGAGCTCTACGAGGAGCAGGGCAGCGCCGGCACAGCCCCCGGCCCGGCCCGGGCGGGCCCCACCAGGTAGAGCCCCGCACACCCGGGGAGCGCGGCGGTGCGGAAATGCGGGGGCAGCGAGCGGTGCCAGATCGCTGTGCCCCCCAGGTTTTGTGGCACCGTGCGCCCCCCGACCTTCAACACCAACACCAACCGCCTGCGGGTCACCTTCGTCTCCGACGGCAGCGTGGGCGCCCAGGGCTTCAGCGCCCGCTACCGCGCCGTGGATCCCGCTGACAGTGAGTCCCCCACCCCAGGGCATTGCCGGGGTCCCTCGCTGCTGGCGGGCACTGGGGACAGCCAGCGGGGAGGTGACAATGCCCGGCGGAACCGCCGCTCCAGCCCGGGTGTGTTCGTGCAGAGAGCTGCGCCTGGGACGAGCACTTGTGTGACCAGGGGCTCTGCCTGCAGCTGGGCTTCGTGTGCGACGGCTTCCACGACTGCACGGACAAGAGCGACGAGGCCAACTGCAGCCTGAGACACCAAGGTGGGCGGCACAGAGCCCCCC